AGGCCTGTACTAGATGTTGCAACCTGTGGAAAATAAGGCAGCAGCAACAAGGCAAAACAGGGGAAGGACTTCAATATATGTGGAACAGCATGATTCCCATAAGCAGCTTGATCTATTTTGGGTGAGCTGATCGTAATGGCAGTAACACAGAAGTGTATGATGATACTCTATTCTGGCTCTATTGCAACTTTTATGCTGCTCAGAAAATCTACAGCTTATTATCTAGTGTTTTGCAGACACTAGACTTAAGCACATGCTAATCATAATCTTTCTTTTTACTTTGTACTACTCTTTCATGTAGTTATTACAAAATGTTGAAATATTCTTTGTAAGTTCTCTGAAGTCTTAGGAGTGAAATGATGAATTAAGGTAATATCAAAATAGTAAGTGAAATAAATGCTTAAAACTGCATGATGTGTGTGGGAGTAAATTAAGTGATTGTTATTTTCCATCTGATGGAGTAAATGGCATGTGTTGCGGTAAATGGCAAAAATGCAATAGCAGTGAGGATATGTTGTTTTACCATGGATTATCATGGTTCTGCTGTACAAAAGAATGAAAGAGTTTAAGTATGGTTTTGATAACATGTATCTTGGAACCTAAGCTTTAAATGATTTTTCTTTTTAGTGTAAACTTCTTTTTTCACCTTGTAGTTATACAATTATACCTTGTAGTTATACAATTTAACCTTGTAGTATACAATGCTCTCTAAATGGTTCCTTTCCGGTTTCCACAATCTGATGTTTTTCTCTCCCAGTTCTTCTCAAAGCATATCCTGATTGGTACACATTCTGCAGACCCCATTGTCTGTGGCAGCAATTTGATACTTGCTATCGTTCTTTCAGCTGCTTCTTTCTCTTGAAGGCTTCCTCTCTGCTTGCCTTATATCACGTTCATTCATTTTTCTCTCTCTTTTCTCTGAGGAAGCCTATAAAGAGATATATGATAAATTTCTTCAAGTAGATAATTTAAAATGAATATCTGGCTTTCTTGGTAAGTGAGACGAGAAAAAAAAAAAGTTTTGATATACTAGAATACATCTGGTAAAGTCTTAATGCAGCAAGAAAAAATATCCACCTGTATTTCTGGGAGCAATAGTCAGCCCTCAGCTCCCTCACCAATAAATCTGGCTTCAGTTAAATGAATTTCATGTTCCATCACTGTATTTTATTGTTCCCTTAGGTTATCTAAAACCGTTGCTTTTGCTGTTGCTGCAGTCAGTGATGTTATAGAACTTTATACTTCAGTCTGACCAAAAGACTGCAGTTAACTATAGGTGATGATGATGAAGACAATTCAAACTCTTTCTCTGGATCATTTAATCTCACCTTGAATCATCTGTATGTCACCAGAAATACAGCTCAGATATGTTGTCTCTTCACTATTCAGCTTATTTATGTGATTCCCAAATTGTCTTCCAAATAGACAACCATCTGGATGTTTCTTAGTTATTTTTGTAAAGACTTGTTAAAAAATAATGATTGTTTTTTGCAGCCCTACTACAGTATTGTTTTAATAGAAAAAAAACCACAAAAAACCAACCCATATGTAATTATTCAATCGAATGTCTTCAACACTAAAAAGTACTGATATATATGCTCACATATATGATACCTAAATAAATTACTAGGAGATAATCAACACAGCACATCCTAGAATTTCCTTCTTTTTTTTTTTTTGTATAGAATCTTTTTCTAATACTTCAGCTTCTAGCACTTCCCAAAATTTCCAATGCTTTGGAAGAAATACTTTGTTTTCATGGATCTATGGTTTCCACCACTGCAGGTAAAGTAGCAAACAGGTTTGCTGAGACAATTTGACAGAATTCTTTTAGCCTGCAAGAGATTGATTGCTAAAGAGGAGAGCATGTCTCAGATTTCCTGCTGTCACTTGTCACAGAGGCAGGAGGCATAGGTTATCCTCCCCAGAATGAGCCAGTCGATTTGGAGGCTATAATGAAGCTGACCATCAGTAGGCTTGCTGCCTTACACTGACAAGGGATGCTTGATAGAAATGGAGAAAGATCTGTTTTGGGAAGAGGGAATCCAGTTCCTACCAGCATCTTTACTTTTCTAAAGAAGAAAAGAAGAAAGGGACTCTGGGGTGTCTGGCCCTGCCAGGGACCAGGGAAGAGCTACCAGCCCTTTGTTGCTGCAGAGCAGGCTGGGTGCTGACTGATCAGCAGCCAGTGTTGGCTGAAGATATTCCTCCTGTTAAGTTAAAAAGTTCAAGCTGTGCTCAGTTTTTAACTCACAGAACCAATTTATGGGTGGTATGAGGAGATGAGGCTTCGTTGGCTTCTATGAACTGACCTACATTTATGCTGGTGGTGAATTAGGCAAAATATATTCATTCCAGCTTGATCTCAGAACCTTTGATTAAATTATGTTTTTCTCTATTTTCTCATGAAGGGCTACATCTGGTCATGTAGAAATAGCTTGTAACAACATTGTAACATAAATTATTTGATGAACTACTTAGGACTATTCACTTAATGCATGATAATCCTGTGAACATGTTAATGAGCAGCAATTCTCTGATGATTGAACTGCTTTAAAATGTCTTTCTACTTATATGTCATTAGAATGAACTTGGCACTTCTAAAACATCCATTATTCATCATGTTCCAGTGTTGCATCTGACTCTGTATCACTAATTTCACTCACTTAACAAAACAATCTATTCATTACAATAGTTTGAAGCATGTTTTCTACATCAGAAAAACTCTAGTTAAATATACAATGTTACTTATCTTTACAAATATCATAGAGCAAAAAGTAGCATCCCAAATTGTAATTACACACTTAGTGCATTTGGATATGCTAACTAAAACTAAATGGAAGTTTAGTTGAAATGGAAGTTGAAATAAATGATTTTGTTAGCTGGAGGAGCAGGATTGGTAAAACAGCTCGCCAAAAGCAAAAGGTTGACTTTTCTTTCTGAAATAGTTCAACAAACATTTTCTTAGTAATCCCTTTTCACATGTATTTATTGTCCCAATAATTTAAGAAACAGAGAAAGAGAATTTTTAGTGCAAATATGAATACTTATAAATATATATATTTTCAATGGGTTTTCCTGCTTCTCCCATGTATTTTTTCATTTTACAAGTCCTGGATCATTCCAGACATTGTGAACTCCATTAAATCCTACATTAGCTCTGCTCCTTTTTGAATCCGTGTGTGATGGCTACTTCAGAAGAGTTTCTTCCCAGCAAGCCCAAGAGATCTATCTCAGAAAGTGTTGGACTGCTGTATGACTCCATGTTTGAAGATTTTTTTACTCATGTCCTGCAAGGGCTCTTGTCCTTTAAGCAGCAGACAGCTTTTGGTAGAGGAGTTAGATACAATATCAGCTAAATGGACCACTTGAAGTAGTATCAACAGAAATGTGTTTTCAGTGTAGCTAAATGAATTTCCAGCTGAATTAGCAAAATTCTGGTAAATAACTGTGGAGATGGGCTAATAACCTCCAAACAAGCCAGAAGACTTTTTTCTCAGAGTGAATGAGAGTCTTATAAAACACACAGATATATGGTGATGAAACTTTCAGTCTTTAGATGTTGAAAACCACTCCAGTCTCTTAATTTTGCTCTAAAAATGCTTATTTGCCTGGCTAGGAAAATAGTCAGTAGTCACTTATGCTGGGCTGCCATGGTCCAAGGGGGGGGACAGGGCCGTGACACAGCACGGATGGGTTCAGGAGACAAGGTAGGGTGCAGATGGAATACTTTATTGAGGCGTGCACAGGATTTTTTATCAGTTCAGGTGGGGAAAGGACCAGAACATGGAGTGGAGCATGAGACAGACAAACGGGGGAACAAATCAGGATAGGGGCACAGGCAAAAGAGGGAGGAACGTGGGAGGAACCGGGGAAGGAAAGGGCGAACTGAGGCTGTCTCCTCTCTGTAGCTTCTCCAGCCAATCAACAGGGAAGCAGGGAAGTGGACAAGCCTGGGCATGCCCGGGAGATACAAGTTCTGGGGAAACATACAATGTGTATATACATAATAACTGTAAAGTCTGTATCATAAAGTCCTTTCAATCGCTGTATATCTTTTTCCACTTCTGAAATTGTTCCCGTTCTGATTCCTGGTCCTTCACACTGGGCTTACTTCTCAGAGTTTTTTAATCAACCATGTTTTTAACACATTCTGTTTTGGTCTGTTGCTGAAGTAGGATGTTTGAGCAGATGTGAGAGGTTTATGAATGCTTTCCTTGTAACCAGTGGAGTTAGGGAGTCTCTGTTGGTTGTATTAATGTTTTCAGCAGCTCTTGGTAAAATAGAAGTCAATATATTAATGATTAACATAAAATATTGTTAAAATAATGTGAATAAAGTATGTGTTAAAGAGGTGGAACAATTGTGTGATAAGAGGAAGATTCTAAAAAAGGTGGACTTTGAAATATTTAAGTAAGGATGGATCTCTCTGTGCTTGGCTAAGAATGTTGATGGCATCAGACTGAACTAAGAAACTCAACTGTGGGTTCACTTTTTAAGATTTCTGTCTCTCCCTTCTGAATCACAATTCTTCTTTGCTCATAACACAATAAATAAGAGTTAGTTTGCAATGAGTTAAGAATTAATTGCAGTGAATTTCTACTGAAGGATTTAAAAACTAGTAATATAGCTCGTTTTCATGAATCTTTCCTTAAAAATGTCAGTTTATGGGACATATATAATAGTATCATCTATGATAGTATCAAAATTGGATTAGTGATGTCTCAAGCTTTCATACACCTTTTTATGGTTAGACTTCTAATGGTAAGTTAAACTTTTCCTTCTAACTAAGCTTGAGAGTGTTTGTGGACATATTGCTATAGCTTTGGCTATATTTATGTGTAATTCAACCTATAAAAAGCCTTATGTTGTATATGGAAATAATTCTGACTGTTTTATATGGAGGAATTGATATTAACAATGCAAATAGTTTCTACAAAATGCTAGAATAAGGACCATTTTTAAATCTTAATTAAGTTTTCTCTATTTCTTTAATGCAGCCCCTGTTCTCCCTGGGGCATATCAGCAAAGCCAGACTCAAGGATATGGATACATGCACCAGACCAGTATGTCGTCCATGAGGTCCATGCATTCACAGCCTCATTCAGCAAGTCTGGTGAGTATTGGATTTAAAGGAGAATTTTATTTGGTAAGCAACATCAACAGCAATTGTGAAATCTCTTAAATATGATTGAATAGATCCCCTTGAGTTCTACAGCTAAACTATTTGACTGTCCTAGTCCTAAATGTAAGTGACAGTCCTCATGTATAAAAAAGATTTAAGAGACTATAGGCAGGGGTAAGAACTCTTGCATCAGAATGCATAAAAAAATAATTTATGATATCCAGAAAAATAACTGAATCTTTTACCTACTTAAAACAAATAGTAAATGCTTGGACAATATTTCACAGGCTGAACTTTGATATTATACTCTGTGATGAATTCATGCTCCTAGCACTGGATGAAACCCACTGATCTCTTAAGATCATCCTGTTGATTTAAATCAGTTTCAATTTTTTTTGACTCATTGATTTTGTACTAGCAGGCGTTGTGCCTATCTGCATTACTTTTTCTTCTTGTATAAAGCTGGCTCGGGCTCTGTATTGGTGTGCCCTTTCTAATTCAACTGAAGAGTCATGCACCAACTTGTACCTGATCCAAATTGAGTTATACTGGTGGGCAACTGAGAAGAACCTTTATCATGAAACTGTGGCCACATCACGAAGTTCTTAATTGTGGTGGATGGGAATGTAAAGCTGGAGTGAATATTTCATTTTAGAAGTAACTGGTCCTGGTAGGAGAGCTCAATGGGTATTCAGCTGGGATTTTTAGGAAATTGAGCTTCTTTTTTCCTTTTGAACTCTTTATATATAAAGTTCGTTTTTAATGGTTATCATATTTTTTAAATTATATTGCTGCCTAGAGATTCCATAGTTCAGATCCAATCACCTTTTACCTTAAAAATATTGACTTGCAATTTTGAAGTTTAAACTATTTTGAATGGATGTATATTTACTACATCTGTCACATTTTAGAGATGAATAAATATTTAATTATGAACCAAACTTAGAGCTTGCTGAGCTTGAAAACGTTTGTTTTCCAGATTACTGAAACTTGTATTTTTTTTGTAAGAGTGAAACTCTGTGACATTTTGTATTGTAAAGATCATGATGTTCTGTGAGGTGTGAGTGGTTTCAGGCTTCCCAGAGTCTTATCTGCCTGGGGCCGAGGGGGCTAACTTGCTGGAAAATCTGGGATTCAGATACCTGCATCTTTGAGTGAATCAGTAACCTGAGAATCTCTTTGGACAGCTGCATGACAGCTGTGAGACAGCTGATGCTAGAATCAACAATTAATTTCCAAGGATATCACAAGGCACTTGGGGAGCTGGCTGTTTTCCAAAAGGGCCAGAGTACGAAAAGTAGGAGACCGGAAAGCCTCAACTTTGCCAGGAGATTTCTAGTAGTTGGGGAGTAAAGCAAACAGCTTTTAAATCCAGCAGATAGAAAATGGAGATGCCTGCAAATCTTGAAATGCACTTACCAGCCTTTGCAGCCATGTGGGCTGGTAGATGACTACTATTGCCCTAGTATCTCTATGTCCCGGCGACTTCTGTGGCAGACTGTTGAAACAGCATAGTTTCAGTCATCATGAGAATCAACATCTGCCTCTCCTTCCAGAACTGAAAATGTAAAGGTAGTAGGAAAGGGAAGGGAGTGACATTAAAGGATTTTAAAAATAAAGGATTGACTTATTTAGACAGGATTTCTTATCCCTTTTGTGCAACTGTTGTCACTTGACGTCCTTTTAAGTGATAATACTGTTTATCATGGGAAAACAGCAAACATCATGATTTGAACAGATCTTGCTGCTGTTAAAACCTGAGTGGGCTTCCTTGTAGACAATAAACCCCAATCATTTCCAGAAATCAAGGACTGCTGGCCGGGTGCTGACTGCTAACTTGCCAGTCTGGTGAGGAAGACATGAGCATGATGTTGTCACCCCAGGGTGATGATTCTGCTCCAAAAGAGGCATCTCAGATGCATCTAGAAACCTGCTGTGCTCCTTTACCTTTCCACCTTCGTGCCAGAAGACTGCATTTTCATTAGCCTGTGAAGCTTATCCAGGGTGCTGGACATGCTACTCTCAGCTATTGGGATGATACAGAGGATTCTGTGCATGTGCTTGGGGGAGACCCCTGATTGAGGATGTGTTTAAATATAGTAATTAGCACAGACTGAAAATAGCTAGTCTTGGAGTGCTTTTAAAATGTGATATGGATATGCTGGAGGAGATCTGACAAACACAATATTTAGGTTTGTTGCTTTCAGCTGCTTGTTCAGTTCTGGGCTTGGAGCAGTACTATCGGAGATGCGATATTGTCTGGCTAGTAACAGAGGGAAGAAAGAAATAAGAGAAGAAAGTAATAGCAGGAGGAGGTTGAAGGAAAGAAATCCTAGACTGAATAGTGACCTCAAAGCACAAACAGTTTTTGAGACTTAAGTAGAAGCAGTGAAGGTGACAAAGTCACTCATCAGTGCCTGAGTATGGCCAGGATATCTCTAGGGTGAGAGTGATTAAGTTCCCATGGGTTATATCAGAGTGGACATAATCAAAGAGTTAGCTACTGTAGTAAAACTACTCCTTTCAGCTGATTTGTTGTATTGTTATCAAATCAGTGTCCCCAAAAGATATAAATTCATTTTATAATCATGCCCACCAATCTCCTATACTGAGAAACCGAATTTTTCTAATTTCTACAGTTTCAAAATTTGGTTTATTTCATTTTGAGCTGTGTTTTGTGTGAGACATGATCCTAACACAATCTTTTGGTAGATTTTTTTTTTCCCCCAGATAAGTTGCATTATTTTCTGATTCTTAACTTTTGCTCACTTCCTTGAGCAGTTCTGCATAATGGGCTGAATTAAATTGTTGCTCAGATTACAAAGTGTTTTATAACAGATGCCTGCAGGCTGTTTACCTCTTTGGAAAATAACACATCTTCAGATATCTAAAAGTGATAGGAAAACAAAACCCTTATTGCAAGTTGGCTTTCCATGATAGCTGCTGTATGTGAAAGGATGCTCCAACAGGTACTGCTCCTTGCAAGGAGCCATCCATAGAATAAGTATAAACTAGTGGATTAAGTGGAAAAATGTATCTGTCAGTTCAGATCTAGCTAGGGAGCTGAGAATATAAATTGGTCTTCAGTTCTTTGTATGCAGAGAACTTAATTGTTCTGTCTAAGCAGTAGCTGTAAGATAGACCTTTGAGGAAGTGAGAAGTGAGTATTTGACTGTTTTACAAAGCTCTAAACTTTTCTTACAACCTGTTGTACTCAGTACCTGCTAAACTCACTGCTGACAGAGGAATAATTCACTAAAATGCATTTTAAAAATCCCTGCTTTGAGTCCTTTAGGCATTGTAATTCTCAATTATATAGCACAGACTACACTCTGCAGTGATAATTAGGCATTAAATGCTAACAGAATTATTATGGAGATTTCTCCTGACAGCCATTTAGCACCTAATTAGGTGTTAAGGCCATAAATTTAGGTTTCTCAGCAGCATTTAGGGCCCTAATAAATTCTTTTGAAGTTTGAAATTACCAGCTTGTCTTCACAACTGTGCCACCACAGTGATGTAAACAAGCTGCCTTTAAGGAGACAGCAGTAGTATGTCCTTTGCCATCGTGCTCTAAGGATGAGTGAGCATCCTTCTGAGTGAGCAAGAACTCTCTATTTTTCCAATTTTATGTTAGTTTAATAAAACATTTAATCTCTTCTCCCAGTCTTTGCCCATTTAAGGGAGACATATTAGCATGGCTCAGAGTGAAATCCATTTGCTGTCTTATGCCAGATATAGATTTATTACCATTTTTCTTAAATTGACCCTCTTTTGAAATAAATTTTTTAAAGGGCTAGCTGCTGCTGAAAGTGTTGTAATAGCATGTTTTTCACTGCTTTTTCGGAGTTAGTTTAGAGAGATCAGTTGGAAAAGTTGGAAAAAATAAGATTCCTAAAAGCAGAGGGGCTTCTGACCGCTAGTTCTCTAGTTTATGAATCTTTAAGGAATTTTTGGTGATGATAGAACCCACCCAATTACTTGCTGTGATGTAGTGCATAAACGATGATGTTTTTTTTTCATCAACTCCCATGAACACTTGGAAGACATTTAGGAACCTCTGGTTGAAAATTAGTCTTGGTCACAGCCTGTAGGGCAGGAAAATTATAAGGCATTGCAGAGAACAATTATACAGAGCAAGACTGAAATACAGTTCAGAGTAGGCTTGTCAGGAAAGGTAGTCTCCAATGGTCTCCATTGTTTGAACAGGAGCTGATTCTCCATACTGTTTAATCTACACTACCAATTATAAGGGCAAATCAAAACAAAAAGTGTATTTCTAGCATGGGAACAGAAATGATAAATTGCCTTATAGTGTTTGGATTAAATAATTCCACATTTCCAACATGTAACAAATGGTCTCCTCACTCTGCATGGAGAAGTCTCCACCTTTTCAGAAAATAGTTTTACTAAAACCCCTCAAAAACCCATATATGATATATACTAGAACTAATCCAGAACTGTTTTCCTGAGCAGGGTAGCAGAACGAAGTTTACTGTCTATTAAAAGGTTCAGACAATAATACTAGGCATAACTCAAACATTGACTGGTTTTACCTTTTTTTCTCTTCAAATCATTCTACCAGAAAATTCCAGCTACTTATGATAATATAGCAAAAATTACCAAAAGGGAAATTCAATATTGTCAGTGATGCTTGAACTGCTCTTGACTTCTCTTTGAGAGCCAGGGTAAAAAAAAGAAAGTATTCCTGGGAATTTTAAAATGAGCTATTTTTTTTCTTCTGTTAAGGTACAAGGGGAGATTGTTCCCCCTGAGTTTGAAAATCCACTTTGAATTCCAGTGTAAAATCATAGCATTTTGTTGGTTATGAGTGAAAACAAATACTCTATTTAGAAAAATAGAGAAAAAAATTTGATATCATGGCTTACAGTGGGCAGAGTTGTACAGAAGTTTGACTTAGCTAATGATGGGACTTTATGTGCTAAAGAGAACATTTTATCTGATATGAAAAAATGAGTATTCATAAAAATTATTTTTACAGACTTTTTGAAATCTTGTTTTGTCTTTAGATAATAATGCATCATAATTCTTAATTCAGGGTAAAATCCTAATGAAATGAAAGACATTCAGTGAGATGGCAAAGTTAATGATCTGGATGAAGACTATGTTTCTTTTTGTAGTGAAGACATAGGAGAAGCTATTTGGGAATCATGCAAATAGGGAGAAGAAGCACAGCTAGCCATGGCTGGATGTATTGAACTGTTACTAGTGAATAAATGAAACAACAATTAGAATATTTCAAGATGCAGTGAATGGCTTGAAATCTGTTTGTATGAGGTCTTTGGACAATGTAGGTTAACAAAAATAATTATTTTGCTACTCAGTATTCACTGTATTTTTGACAGGGTGGAGAGAGTACCGTTCCTTTTCAACAGGTAACTTGTGATTTTGCTCTCTGCCTTGCTCCCTCTATTCTTTTTTCCTTCTCTTTTCATCTTTGTGCAAAGAGAAGGAATCTATCTCTGTTTAGACTTGAGACTTGACAGCCTTGTTTTCTTTCCTTCAACAGAGAACATATAGAGCTATGTATGACTACAGTGCTCAAGATGAAGATGAAGTTTCCTTCAGGGATGGTGATTATATCATCAATGTGCAACCAATAGATGATGGCTGGATGTATGGTACTGTTCAGAGAACTGGGAAAACAGGAATGCTTCCAGCAAATTATATTGAGTTTGTTAACTAATTTTTGTCTCTAGTCCTTTGAGCTTTATTATGATTTACTCAAAATCTAACCTTTTAGAAAAAAGTCAGAAGAATCTTTTAAGAGTACATGATCATGACGTTATCACTGCATTCTTACTCAGAATCCAATTTAGAGTTCTTTAAAATAGAAATAAATAAACCACAAGAAGCTCAGAGCTTTGAAAATAGCATGGCTTATAATCATGCTCTCTCAAAATGAAAAACATATATGGAAGCCTGGTGCTGCCTATCCTATAAAAATTTTAGTCAATTACCTGTAAAGGGGAAATACCTTTTCCCTACTTATCAAAGAGGTTATTTCTCTTTATAAAAACAACCATAAAATTGATGCACTTCTGGCACTCTGAAGTCACAGGAAGTTAACACACTGAGTTTGAACACATCTTCAAATTATTAGGGAGGTGTTTAATGTTTGAGCAGTTAGCATCCTAATAAAAAATAAAATGTTGAGTAGATAATTCAGTCATTTGATATAATGACAAGTAATATGCCAGTAAAAAACCCAATAAAATCCCCTACTGCCCAGCAGCCTTACAATAAACAGGTTCATTTTAACAGCAAAATTTTCCTGACTCTTGCATACCCACATTTATTTCTGCATTACCCATTTTTTCTTATTTACAAGTGACCTATCAGCTTTGCTTGCATCCCAATCCATCAGTTAGATCCATATCTAGATCCATGATTCTTCAGTATCTTTTCCACAGAAGATTCCTTGCAAAGACTATCTAAAGTATAAAACCTGTCAAGTCTTCTGTTTCCTTCTAATAATAACTAGCATTTAAATAGAAACTTCCATTAGGGCAACATATAACCAATACTTCATGTTAGTTCCTTTACCTTCACTTCTACTGCTGTAAATAAATATCCCGTGTGAGGCCCCGGTGCTGTGCAGTCACACAAAGCCTGCAGTCATATCCCTCCTTCTTACCTACCACAGGTAACTCGCTTAATGGCTGCTTTGCTGATGAGCTAATGTACCTACCCCTGCTTCAGAAATACTTATGCCTCCATTGAGGAGTGGAGGACAGCTCTGTTTACTGTAGTGCATTTCAGATCGATGACCTATTGCTTCAGTTTACTCAAAAAATCTTGGTGATCCAACAGTGGGTTGTACGCTTGCCAAATGTTTAATGATGGAGAAATATTATGTTTTCTTTTACTGACTTGATCTTTCTCATAACTGACACTGAAGGGAAAGCTAACTAAACAAAAGTCCAACATTCTATGCCATTATGTTTCAGTTTAGCCATCTGTAGAAAACAGTAAAAATATTCTGCTGACAAACCTTCACATATGCTATTTGGTGTCTGTTAACATAACGGTCAGAACTGAGAGATCCAGGTCTCAGTCTGTGAGGCTGAGGAGAGGATCAAACAACTGGTGACATAGTGGACCTGTAAGAGGGACTGTGTCAGCAGGCTTGGGTCACAGGGAACTTGCTTTTGCTTTGACTGATTGCTGCATTCCCTCCCAGGGAGAAATTGTGGGAGGAAGGACAAAAGAGTTAAAGATTCATGTGGGAACTTATTCGTGCGGATGCAGATGCAGAAAATGTTTTTACTGATAATATAGTTTGTGGAGTTCAGCCATGTGCTAGAGAAGTTAGAGACGCTTGTAGTAACCCTCAGAATGTTGAGTCTGCACTGGCTTCCTTCCATTTCTAAAATTTTTAAAGTAGAATTAAATATAGAGCTTATAGACAATTTTGTATTTCTCATTTCACAAAGTAGGCAACTTTGCAATATCTATTTAAAGAATAAGGAAGGCAGTATGGATTTGTTATGTCAACTGAAAGTTGTCAATGCAAATACGTGCATGTTCTATTTTTGCATACAATTAGGAATTGGAAAGCTTATGCAATTTTATTTTGGGTTTTGCTAACTCGGGGCTGATTCTAGCTGCCAAACAGAATGACTGCATTAAAAAAAAAAAAAATTAAAAAATGTCCATGACTGTGGAATTGCCTGGGCTTTCTTGTCAGCAACCTAATTCCAAGGCTAAAGCTGTCCAGGAGCATCTAACTTCAAAAAATATTGTTTAAAACCAGAGATTCACTACTGTAAATATCCAATCTCTATGGGTGACTGCTGTCATTTAAAATTCTTGAAAGTTTTGCATAAGGAGCTGCTGCTGCAACAGAACCTCATGCATTGCTGGTGACATCCACGTGAAATTAGCAAACTTTGCAAGTGAAATGGCTTTTTCAAAAGGCTGATGTGATATGCTGAGCTAGAAGCTCTGAAAAAAGCAGTCTGCTTCTGTGTTGGTTTTCATCACCAGCCGTCAACAGCAAGGAGAGGAATTTCATCTTATGCTGGGTAGCAAATTTTTCAGATGATGCCTGAGGCACAATTGGCTGTCACTTGCTTCTTGCTGCTCTATTAGCTGTGTAATGCTGACAACAATAAAAACAAGTTGTCAGTTTGTTAACCCAATAAAATTTAGAGAATAGATATATTGAATCAAGTTACAGATTTTAGTGATTTATAAAAATGAATTTCAACCTATAAAGAGATGATCATTCTTCCTAAATGAGGAGATGACTTGCAGTGTTGAACACTTTATGTATAGAAGTAAATGAGAAAATGGGCATTTGATGACATTAGAGAACTATGTTGTACTAAACAATCAAAATAAAATTTCCTTTATGAATTTTGAAAATTCATTAGCTTGGTAGAGCAGCTAAAGCAATATGCAAAAAAATAAAAGGTCAAGAAAACACAACAGTATGAGAATTGTGTTTCTCTTGAGAATGGTATATCAGCAAAATTATTAAGATCTGGTTTAAGTTACTCATTCATGTAATCAAGTTTTTTATATCATATATGCTTAGGAATTCATGTTTATGTGGAACGGTTCCTGCTTTTTGATATAAAACAAACTTTAGTGTCATTATGCAGCTCTTTTCTAAGCAAAGCAATCAAAGGCCCAAAATTATCAGAGTGCAATTAAAAAAATGTTTTTATAAGATCTAAAATTTGTAAGGTAGGGAAAGTAAGTCATAAACTAAATTGTGCCAGCATAGGTTTTAAAAGGCATATGTTGGAGCCTGTTACATGCAGTGTGATATAGAGGTGAAAAGATGTTATATGCTGTCTTGTCACCTTTAAAATATGTATTCCTTTTTAGCACGACATGTTCCCCTCACTGTTCTTTCTTCCCGTAGTCAGTTTTTCTGGGGAAAGGAAAGGACTTTTACAGAGGTGAATTTCCCAAGCTGTTCCAAAGTTCAGATTGGAAGTTCACATGTTCCCCTTTTAGAAATAAAGAATTCTGTAAAGAATGCTTTAATTCTTGCTAACATGAGTATAAATGTAGAAAACAACATAGAGCATATTCATACATATATACAAGAACAAATGGGTGCCTTGCTTTTCATTACTCTTTCTTGCCTGGCTAATCTTCATTTTCTAAACAAAGCTACGTACAGAGACTGCAGTTGTAATTTTTCATTATGGAACATTAGCATTTAATCTTGATGAAACAGGGTTTTCTTGATTACATTTGACATACAATAAACTACTTCAGCAGATTGGGATTTGACGGAGAATCACCTCCCATGGATTATGTTTTTGACAAATGTGTCCCTCCCGAGTGTTCCTCAGGGATATGGAAGGTCTCCAATACTTGGGAAGGTAATAATTCTTGTTTTTATTGTACAGTGACTGCATGTCATCTTGTACAATGGAAAAGAAATGACAAATACCAAGGTCTTTGGCAGAAGGTGGTACAGGGTATAAAATTTTAGATTTTAATTAAGTTGATTAATACTCCATTTAAACCATAGAATATGCTTTAGTTAGTAAATGTTTAAATAATGTACTGAAACAGACAAAAGATGCTGTTGAAAGAAGTTCTCCAAACTGATGTGCTGGCAAATGCAAAGTACTGGTGAGCAGTATAAAGAATAAACCATTTCGCAATGCTTTAGTGATTTTCTCCAGCTTTATGCCATAGGAACCCCATCTCTCCTTTGGAAGGAAAACCTGAAAGCTCTATTTCCTATACTGCCTGCACTACAACAGTATATTCAAAGGAATTTCATATGCTTCTTGTGTCTGATAAATAGAACTTGCATATTGTACTTAAGTTGTAATCCAGTTGTTGTTGACATTTGTTTAATTATTATTATTTTAGGGGGGGAAATAAGCTATACTGTAGCATTTCAATCGTGTATTTAATATTACTATTAGAAATTGCTAGACCATTGGAAGACAGCAATGACTGTATTGACATTGATTAGCATGATGTGGAAACTCGGCTGTTGGTTTTTGCAGTGTGATATAAAAAGCAAAAATGAACCGCTGTGCAGTTTGGCTTATGTTTGCTTTAAAGTGTGTAAAGTTTTAGTTATTTTGCAAAACTGTACTGTATTTGGGGGTATACAGTTATGGAGGTAACAATTGTTTTTCAAAGGACAGATAAACTTTCTCTTGGATCATATGATGTATCATCTTAATTTGGCTTTTGTTATGCAGAAAGTTAACACCAGCTATTAAAATATATTTTAGTAGAAATGCTTTAATTCCTGTTTCTTCCTCTACACTGTGAATATTTAAGCTTTGGTGGACTAGAGCAACATCATGCTGCCCAAAGTACTAACCTATGCAAACTAGTTCACATTTTAGTTGATGTCACAGTGGATGTAACATAGCAATTTATTTTGCAGAACATTAACCGTCATTCAAATAAAATATTAAACCCAGCATGATGTATGTATTATATTCATAAACAATACTCTGTAAAGCTACCATTCCCATTAATATAAGCTATCAAAGATGTATATTGTTTTAATTAAGGAAGCTTTGAGTTTTCAAACTTAAGTAGAATATTTAGCACTATTATTTGTCAAGCTTGATCTCAGAATGTAGTTTCCTAAACCACTGTTTTATTTCAGACATGCCCTCTCCTTAGAGGGTTAACTTGCTTTTTCAGTCTGTATTTGTAACCCTTCAACTGAACACCAAATTACATTCCATGCCCCTTGGTTTGTTTAAATAAGCAAAGATAGTAAGTGAAGGAGATCTGCTGATTTAATTGATCCTGGTTTGCTGGACTTTGAATGGGCATTTGGCTAGGTGTGCTCTCAGTGCAACACTAAAGAAAAGAAATTGATATACTGGCTTCTTTAAAACAATTTTATATACAAATGTTGTTCTTGGGTTATCTTTATTCATTTACACAAGTCAATTATTTTTACAACATTGTAAGAAAGTTTAAGTTAAAATAAAATCCAGAAGTATTTTGGAACTGCTCTGCCTGTAGTTAAGAAGATTATTATGCTTAGGAACATGTTTTATTTATCTGAGTGTTAACTGTACAGTATAATGGACTGCATTAGAATATTTTTATCAAGTGTTAGTTTGAAGAAGGCTGTTAACAATGAATGAGGACAAATGGCAGCTACAGATGGAGCCGGTTAGTGCCTTTTAGGTAAGTGATATACTGTTGCTACCACACTAATTTCTCCTCAAGAAATACATGTTAGCATTTCCTATGAAGTTGCATTAGTTACAGAGCTTTGATTCCATGTTCTGAAACGCTGCCAGAATAGCAAAATCCAATCTTTATACATACTGTAGCAAACAGCAGTTTTCAATAACAAAAAGATTTAATAGCTGCCAAAATGGACCTCAAGCCCTTGGAATGTGTTTTATTTGAAAATCTCTCCGTAATCTGCTAGTGCTACTGAAGTATTTGATTTTTGTTTCTATCCTAAATCTATATTTCAGGTGAAGGTCCTCCTGGCAGCCACTGATGTGAACTTGGTAGGAGTCATGTGTTCAGCTTCTGAGGGATTATGTCCTTATTCAATAGCAGTGTCAAATCTAACAAATGACTGAAATGAAGAAGGCTCTCCTGTCTTTACTGGCCCTGTAGAATGTAATTCTAAGGGTTTATGTACTGGTACTTGAAAGTCCTGTGGAAACTGTCCATGCTGTGTATTGGATAGGTTGAGAGTTTCCAGCTGTCACTGCTTTTAGGATGCCCTTATGTCTGCTCTGTCACAGAACTGGGCCTTTGATTTTCTCAGTTGTGTTAATTGGCAAGAATAAGCTAATATACCATAGAGTTCCCTGTACAGAGCAAATAGTTGCCCAGTGCATTGGCTGTGACAAGTACTGCCTCCCCTCCCTTCTCCCACTCACACTACCAAGCCCAACCATGTTTCTAATCCTGTCCTGCAGTGACTACCTCTCTTATGTTTCCGTGAAGCTACCTGTGGGACACAGTAAAATGTTATCAACAAATGATCCAGAATTGTTTTTTTTCTTCCAAATGATTCCTTTTATCATCATTCTTTCAATGATTCTGTTTATTGCACAACCTCAAAACCAGTAATATTGACATAAGGAAAGAGGTAGCATGACCTGGGTGGGAAGGCATGCTAAAGTGAAAAGCCACAGATTTCTTACTCAGATTTTGCTGCAGAGGTTATTACAAGTCAAGCATATGTCTGAGGGTACCATCTGAATAACTAACCTGTAAGCTGAGCAGTACTGTGTGGATGTGCTTGACCTGTCTGAGTGTATGTCTGTGCTGTAGTGTCAGAAGTGACTCTGGGGTAGTGTGCAGATACCTCCTTCAGCTTTTGAACAATTATTTGGAATCCCAAGAGCAGGCCATCCACTGGCATATGGCATTAATAAAGGCAAATTAATCCTTCAAGAAAAGGAGACCTCAGATAGTACAGAGGAAATAAAATGTCAATAGGTTTAAAGTGCATGTTCTTGTGCCCTGTGGGAAGGAAATCCTTTGTGTACAGTCAGAAGACTGAGCCCCATGACACTACAGCAAGCTCCTATCTCTGAACTGTATTTAGAACTAGAATGAGATGATGTGCGACGGAGCTCACATGCTCCGCAAATTTGATACCGTGTAATGTGCTATGTACTGGGCAAGTATTTAACAATAACAGCAGAAACTGGAGATTCATATTTATGCACTATGTCCCAAACAGAGTCTAAACAGTCCTTGATTTTATATATTTTAGCTTTTTTTTCTTTCCCACCTGCCTGCTGTTGACAAAATCTACATAAGAACATGCCTGTTCTCATGCAGAAGACTACTGGCTTGTGGCTTTGACCACTTGTGTCTACAAAGAGAGATCCCCAGATATTAACATCTGGCTCTTAAAATACTGCTTGGCATATAAATATCCATTTTCAATGATTTCACAGACAGCTGTCAGCTTTCGTGATTGTTCTTCAATTCAAGCCATATTTTTTCCGTATTTTTCCTCCTCCTCCATCTTTCTTCTTGTGACATACTTACGATCTGTGTTGCTTATACAGCAGCTTTTCCAGGACCCAAAGGAGATACTTTTAAGAGGCTTCTCAAAGCACTGAGAAGAATTTAAATTGCTTGAAAAATGGTAGTGTTGTCTCCTCATTAAGGTCTCCCTCCCCCAGCAGTTGTCCACTGGCTTCACTGTACAGTGTTGTGGTAGGGGGAAACAGGTTCCCCCCCCCCCGGAGCTAAGAAAAGTGGTAACCCCCAAGGGGGTGGTGACCCTTTGGGGTCGAGCCAATGAACGCTCCTGCAAAATATAAACATATCACTAAGACCGGAAGAGAAGGGTTGTAGTTGGAGTTGTAGTAGTTGTTGAAGAAGAGTAGCCATGTTGTGAGCCACGAGGAAGGGGCAGGAGCCCCTCTGGGGGGCCACAGCCCCCCCCAGCCCCTTGTCTAGGGGCTGCAGGGACTTGGAACAGTGTTAAAACTGGACTGAGTGTCTGTAGCTGAAAGCTGGGGGAAGCTTCTGCACCGGGAGCAGCAAAGGGAACAGAGGCAAAACAGCACTGACTGAGAAGCAGTGGCAGAGAGCCAAGAGATAAGAGCAAACAACTAAGACAAGATGCAGCTAAGCAAAGAGACACAGAGTTGTCTGAAGTAAAGGAAAGCAGCAGCAGAAAGAGAAATAAACTACTACAGAGAGAGAGTTTGGGGTAAGGACTGCAACCAAAACTCCCCCAAACTCCTTTGAGACCCCTTCTAGGAGGAGGGAGATGGACTCTTGTTTGAGAAGAGTCTCAGAGTGCTACAGCACTGTTGAAAGAGGAGCTAAGAAACTCAGGTGTCCCAGGAAGCTGGACCGGGACGGCCGAAGGAATGTGGAGGGGGTGACCTTGGCCTTCCCCCCTTGCTGCTGCTAAGCTAAGAAGCTGGCTAGCAGCCTGAGATCAGAGCCAGAAGCTCTGCAAGTGGAGCTTGAATCCCCTGAAGATAGGGACTGTCACGAAGACCCCTGTGCTTTGTGGTATGACGTGGTGAAGTGACCTTTGTCCTGGTAAACACAGCCCACAGAAGAGAAGACCCTCATTTGGAGATGAAGGGCCGAGGGGCTTGAACTCCCCTCGTGTGTATTGACAAAGATCCAGCTACAGCTGCTGCATTGAAGAGAGAAAGAGACACTGCTGCCCTAGAAAGACTTGCTGCTCAGAAAGAGGAAAGGGATCTTTTCCTTCTTCCCTCCTGGACTTTTATTTGGAAGGGAGAAGTGATTTGATCCACTGTAAATACTGCTTTATCATAGTAGAGATAGTTAAGATTGTATATGATGTATTATACTATTTATTTGTTGTACAGTGTCTTGTAATAGATTCCCTTCCCCCTATTTTGAGTCTCGTGTGGTGTCTGGAAAACCCATCTCACACTGGGTTGAGATGTGGGAGGTGGGCTAGGACTCGGGAATTGGATTTTGGGGCTCTCAAACCATGACACTGGTCTTTTGCCTCCTCTTCTTTCTGTCAAGTTCTGACATCTCTGTCACCAGACCTGATGGGCTTGGGACCCCTTCAATCAGGCTTTACACCACTCTTTGGCCTCCATAGTTTCTATATTCAGATTTGGAACTTAAAAGTGGCTCACCTGTCTGTTCTCCTGTCAAGACCTTTGAGCAGAACTCAAAGAATATTAGCATGTACCCATTTACCCCAAGGGGTATTACATTTCTGTTGTGTCAGCTTTGAACAATTCTTTGTGAAGAGTCCTCTTGACTGTGCTTTCCCTGGCCTGCCTTGCCGGTGGTGCTTCTGGCAGCTTCTGAGCTGTGCTACTGATTTCAGAAAAGAGGGAGATCACAGTTTTTTCTCTCTGATCAATACCTAAATCACTTCTTGTTCATTCCCTTCTTCGGAGGATTAGCATCTTCATTATGTTATCCCTAATTCTGGGCTGAACTCTTTATTCAGGAGTCATTCTCTCTCCGCCAGTGAAGGGCTCATGCCATGTAAATGTAGTCTGTTGCTCACTGTGGAAGGTGTGTTGATAGGCATCGTGGCTAGGCTTCGCGAACGAAGATTTGGGAAGGGCTCTACCCATGTTTGTTGCAAGCGCGCTGGTGGCTAAAAAGGCCAATACGAGATAGGCATGTCCGGTTGCAAAAGGCACAGCAGAAAGACTGCTTAGATGGTATATTCTGCAAGGCACGATTCTTTCTGCATTGATTGATAGGCACTGTCCTGCTTAACGTAACATTTCAGTTCCTAGCACTGCTTGTCCTGTATTCGTC